ATGCTCTGTCATTAGCACCACAGCATCCATCCCATGGGGGGCTGGCCCCACATGTGTGCTAACACATTTTGTAGCCCAAATAAATACAACAGAACTGTTACACAAACATTTATTGCCTCCCCTCTATAGCTCTCATTGAGATAACTTTTTAATATTTCCTCCCTGTGTGAACTGAATATTTCTCTTACATCTTCGGTAATTGCTCTGGGTTAATCCCTTATAGCCCTGGATTATAGCTTTAAAGTTTCTACTGGGCCAAATTTAAATCATTTGATTTTGCTTAACAGTGAGTAGAGCATTCTTGTTACAATAAAATGATCCTATTGCAATTTTTATTGACTTGCCTTTATCAGTTCCATAATTCCATGGGTAGCTCGCCACCAAAGCACTGCAATAATTACTTACAGATCTGGGTTTCAGAACTGGTGGATGCAGAGCTTTGGTTATAACCAGGGATACTAGACATTGGTATTTTTAGTTGCTGAGCACTTACCGAGCACTTCCTACGTGCTTCGCACTGTCCTAAACTATGCTGTGAAGGCAGCTAAGTCAGAACAAGTACAATGTGAACCCCTCCTTCCTCCCCATCAGTCACTGATGTTCATGCAGAGGAACTGATACAGGTATACAGATACATGTAGTGAATGTTCCCAGGAGAGAGAGTGAGCCCCTTCTGCATAGGGGACCCAGGAAAGCTTCAACCATTTGCACAAAGTGTGTGTGTGTGTGTGTGTGTGTATGGCAGGGGCGGGGGGAGGTGGGGGGTAGGCTTTTGTATGGTGGACATGGAACAAACCTTTGTTGGTGGAGGAGTCTGAGCAAAGACCCAAAGTGATTTGGAAAACCCAAAGTGTCATGGCAGTCCATGAGAGGCTCAGTGGTACATAGGAAGGTGGGCAGATACCAGACGACTGTGACTCTCAGACCAAGGGAGCCTGGACAGATGAAAAGATACTAATTGTTATGGTTTCTTAATGTCATTGACGATAAGATCTGATTTCTTTCTTCCACCCCCCGCAAAATCCATGAAAGTGTTGTATTCGGATGGAGTTTGTTGTTGTTGTTTTTTTTTTAATTTTTTTATGTTTTTTAATTTACTTCCAAATTAGTTAGCATATAGTGCAACAGTGATTTCAGGAGCGCTCCTTAGCGTTCCTTACCCATTTAGCCCACCCCCCCTCCCACAACCCCTCCAGTAACCTTCAGTTTATTCTCCATATTTATGAGTCTTCTGTTTTGTCCCCCTCCCTGTTTTTATATTATTTTTGTTTCCCTTCCCTTATGTTCATCTGTTTTGTCTCTTAAAGGCGTCATAGGAGTGAAGTCATATGATTTTTGTCTTTCTCTGACTGACTAATTCCGCTTAGCATAATACCCTCCAGTTCCATCCACGTAGTTGCAAATGGCAAGATTTCATTCTTTTTGATTGCTGAGTAATACTCCATTGTATATGTATACCACATCTTCTTTATCCATTCATCCAATGATGGACATTTGGGCTCTTGCCATACTTTGGCTATTGTTGATAGTGCTCCTGTAAACATGGGGGTGCATGTGCCCCTTTGAAACAGCACACCTGTATCCTGTGGATAAATGCCTGGTAGTGCAATTGCTGGGTCATAGAGTAGTTCTATTTTTAGTTTTTTGAGGAATCTCCATACTGCTTTCCAGAGTGGCTGCACCAGCTTGCATTCCCATGGATGGAGTTTTTAAAATCTAATTCATACTTCTTTCAAAATGGGACATATTTGAAGGTTTGCTTTGATTCAAGTTGCCTAAAACCTGAGCTCTTTGGATCGCCCCTCACTCTTCATTCTGCAGTTTTCTTTGGAGACTTTTATGCGGAGTTGATTACAACTAGGCCACCCCATACCACAGCTGCATTTCTTTCAAGAGAGCACCTGTCCCCCAAAGGTGCCATCCTTTAGATTGGGGGGCGAGGAGAACCAATACTATGTTAACTGTGTGTCTGGAGGCTTAGTTAGGAACACAGGAGAAAGGCCACACAACAGATGTTATAGCCTATCCATCAAGAAGGTGGCTGTTAGCACAGTGTCCACAAAGTGAGTTGTGTGGGAGAAGACATGTTTATTCTGTGGCATGATAAGTGTCCTCCTGGATCTTCAGTCTCCACCAAGAAGACCACCTTTTCTTCCAGGTTACCAGAACACATGGCTGAACACTGGGCCCCTCAGGAGCCATCCAGCTGCTCTGAGATGTCCTGGAGACCCAGACAAGCATGGCAGTCACAGAGGCTGAGAGGTGGAAGAAACCCATCTGGTTCCACCTCTGTCCAGCATATAAATCCTTCTCCATCCTCACCTCCTCCTTCTTGTACAGAATTGACCACTTCCCAAGGCAGCCAATTCCATTTTCTGACAGCTCTGTGAAAGAGTTCTTCCTTATGCCATATCATAACTTCTGCCTGCCACTAGAGCCCTGAAAAAAACACTGATAAACTCAGCCAAGCCCTCATGGAACATGGTATTGTAGACACTTCTCTAAGAGGGGTTCCTGTAAACCCTCCCAAGATCAATTAAATATAAAACAAGTTCCCAGGTAACTGAATCATTTGAGCAGTTATATAAAATTATTTTTATTAGACATTCCCCAAAAATATTTTGTTTTGTTTTGTTTTGTTTTTCCTTTTTGAGTAATTGGTATTTTAGCCTTTCTTCTGAAAAGCATTGAGGGGCACCTGGCTGGCTCATTTGGTTAACCATCTAAATCTTGACTTCGGTCAAGGTCCTTGCTTGCTCAGGTCATGATCTCATGGTTTGTGAGTTCAGGCCCTCCATCAGGCTCTGTGCTGAGAGCAAGGAGCCTGCTTAGGATTCTATCTCCCTCTCTCTCTCAGCCCCTTCCCTGCTTGTTCTCTCTCTCTCAAAATAGATAAAAATAAACTTTAAAAATAAAAATGAAAAGCATTGATAGTGGCCCATTTGTCTGTTGAGGTTAGCAAATGAAAATAAAACCATATAGCAGCCAAAGTGGAGAATGCCTCTCTACCTCCCATCTGGAGTAGGATAAATATGGCTTCCACTCACCCCACAGCTATCTCAGGTCATCAAGAAGAGAGGCCAGACCAGCCTCTGTGCTCCATTCGTCATGAAATCCCATCCAGCTAATCTCACCCCTCAAGATGGTTTATTGACTGCGTCATTCAGAGTGTGGTCCACAGAATCCCAGGCCCACCCTTTCCTCTTGCATCAGAAGCTATATGTGTTCTTTATATGGACAAGAGGAAGGGAGACTGAAGACTCAGGAGCAAAGCTCATCACTGACTTTTGTTAGGAACTGTGCAGAGCACTCATTCCCCACCACCACCACCCCCTCTTTCCCTTTTTTCAGTTGAAGGAATTCATTTGCAGTTAAAATATCTACACAGTCATCCTCATCCCCCAAAATCTCCACTCTTATATTTTGGCTTTCTCTTTAAATAATTTGGCTGCTCTGACATCTTCCTTCACTTCCCTCTAGCACCACAATGCTTGCAAGCTACTGGTGCTCCCAAGGCCATCAGGATATCTCTCCGCAAGACATAACCGATGGCATGTGAAAATTCAGATGGTCTGTTGGGGTGTCATTGATGAGAAACCACCACTGTACCTTAGTAATGACAATAGAGTATTTAACCATAAATAAGGAGGACATCTTGCCATTCACAACAATATGGGTGGACCTAGAAGGTATAATGCTGAGTTAGATAAGTCAGACTGAGGAGGACAAATACTAACTGATGTCACTCCTATGTGGAGCCTCAACAACAAAACAAATGAATAAACCAACAAAAAGCATAATTAGACCTATAAATACAGAGAACAAACAGATGGTTGCTGATCGGGGAGGGGATGGGAAGAATGTGTGAAGGACAGTGTGAGATACAGGCTTCCCATTACAGAGTGAATAAGTCATGGGCATAAGAGGCACAGCGTAGGAAATATAATCAGTGTTGTTGTAATAGTGTTGGATGGTAACAGATGGTAGCTACACTTGTGGTGGGCACAGCATAAGATATAGAGAAGTTGAATCACTATGTTGCACACTTGAAACTGCAAGATTGTGTGTCAACTGTACTCAAAAAAATAAAATAGAATATTAAAGCAAGATGAAAAAAACCACATGAGGGTCTAGCTTCTGACCCCTGGCTGCTATAGGTGTCTGCTATAGCCATTGAGAGTTTCCTTCATTTTCTCAGAGAGCAAAGACCCCAAATTACCCATAGATAGTGGCCAATCACTCTAAAATCCCTTCTGCACCAATTCTCCCGTTTTCTAAGAAAGTATCACTTAGGAAATGCTTTTGGAGAAAACTCGTGAAAGCCCTTTGTTCCAAAGGAAGGACTAGTTATCTGCTGTGGCCCCCAGTTATGGCTGCAGCATCTACCTGGGACAGTGGGAACACCTGGGCATTAACAGAAACACTCACTTTTAGAGGACACTTAGAAAGGGCAGGAAAGACAAGAGACAAGAGGTGAAAGAACACAGACCATGGTCGTCAGCCCCGTCTGGGACAGGCGGTCATATTGCTGGCAGTGCTCTTAACGCAACGCCTATTCTAGCCCAACAAAGACAAGACACATTTCTGTGTTATGCTGAAAGCCTTTCCTTATGGAAGAACCGGTTCTAAAGGAAGGGGGTCCTGTTCAGTGAGGAGCTGCTGTGCACACATCTGGGTGGCTCTCCCTCTGGCCACCAGCCAGGGAACCTGTTGGATGGTCTCAGCCAGCTCAGGACAGCCTGAGAAACAGAGACCACAGCTGATGGTGCCACTTGTAAAGTGAGAACGAATGACTGGATCTCTAACTTGTTCTCACAGTGAGGGACGTGGGAATCACAGGGCGCAGGGAATTAGCGAAGGCCAACCTAGTGACTACAGTTTGCCCCCGCAATGCAGTTTCCCACAAGCAACAGCCCTTTGGTGGCAGACGTTGGCATTTAAAAGGTTAGAAATGCTCTTTCTGACTTTTCACAGCTAATGGAGTCTTTCTTTGCCTTCAGGTCCACATTGGCCAACTGTATTCGACCGACAAGCTTATTATTGAAAATCAAGAGAAACCCAGGACCTAGGGAGCCAGGACCAGCCACCACTGGCAGCTGTGGACCCCACCTTCAGCATCCATTCTGTGCTTGGGATGCAGGCTCCCAACAGACCACAAGTGGCCTCTTTCTTACATCAGCTTAAAATAGCCTCTTGCTCTGCCCGCCCTGTAAGGAGCTGATAAACTGAGTCTGGTTTCCATTCTTCTTTAGCCTTTAGTGAAAAAGGATGGCTGTTTCCTTGGTTCAAGTGTTCAAATGAAGAGCTGGAGTTCGCTCCCAATACTGCTGTGTATTATTGTGTCTCCTCTGCCCACCCCTTTTTGTATCTCATCCCCGCTTGTATAGAGCACCTCCACACTATGTTTCTTGGTTGACAATAAACAGAATTGTCTGCCTAAGTCACCTGACACCAGATACACTCCTCACGATAAATGCATTTCTTCCTGCCAAGGCAGGTCCTGCAGAGGGCAGTGGGGACCCGGAGGGAGGGTCCCAACCTGAGCTGAGCCCTCCCTTAGTGAAGGTCAAAGTCTCAGCACCCAAGATTTGGGGGGGCAGCAGAGAATAGGACAGGCTCATAGGGGTGGAGGGCACATCCTGTGGTTTATACCTGGGCCTGATGCAACAGCAAAGGTGGCCCACAGGTGGCCACACACGTGCAAACAAGACACCATCAGCCCCACCTGCAAACTTGTTTCAAATGCAGAATCTCCAGCCCCATCCCAAATCTTCCGAATCGGAATCTTCAGTCTAGCACATCTGGATTCCTCCAGTGCACAGGGAGGCTGAGGAAGGGCCACTCGCAGCACTGCTCCTGAAAGCTGGCTTCCAGAAGCATCTAGAAAATTTCTCGGCATCTCCCTCCCCCTCAGATTCTTAGTGAGAGGTGAGGCACGATCATTTATATCTGCATTTTTAAAGATCCCTTAGTGTTTTTAACATTTCTTAGCCAGTTTGGGGAAACTCTGCCTTTTGAGTATGTTGCAGGTAATGGAGATATTTGTGTGCATTTATCCCTGGAAACACATCAGTTCAAAACATGAAGGTATTAAGTAACTTCCTTGATTTCCGGGGATTTTATGGGGGACCAGATACTATCCAAGTGATTTTTCACCTTTGTAAACAACACAAAGTGAATTCATTACTTAGGTGTTTCGGTTTGGAACAGACTCATATAAATATTTACGGATCACAGAATCGCTATGACGGTGTCACTGACCCTGCCACTGACCCACTGCCCGTCACTTTAATTCTTACAGTCATGTGAGTCAAACAGGAACAGTCTAGATCCACATCCTCTTGCATGGGAAAAGATCATGTCTGCCCTTCTCACCCACAGATTGCAGATTTTGTGGTAACAGTGGATTCAAAATAGATTAACAGTGTGCTCGTTCTGATGGGCAGTACATCTTGTGACTTCAGAAAGCTTTTGCCCATGGATAGTCTTGTACACCTGCACCTTGGTGGGTCTGGGATCTGTCACCGGCCCAGCAGTGTTAGGGCTGCAGCATGGAGCAGAGGGTGAATGTAGGTGATGTGGGTAATGTCCTTTCCCCCTTCGGCTGACTGTCCTCAAGCAGAGTCCCCCAGCCCTGGGATGTGCAGCTCTGGATCAGTTTTTCTACTCTCCATCAGTAGAAAATATAGTCATTCAGCAACCGTTGCACCCAACAATGGGGGTAGCTAATGGATGTCACCTCTGATTTATACTTAATTAAAGCAACTGCTACTTGGAATCCTAAGTCTAGAGTTGAACCTCTCCTCTAGAAGTGTCAAGTTACCAGTAGGGTATCAGCTCCATAGGAGACTTCCCCCCAGATTTTAGTCACAGACACAGCGGACCAAGCAAACTTAACTTTGTTCTACAGGCCTTAACAGCAGGTCCCTTTTGTGTTAATTAAAGCTCATGAATGCCTTTGAACATGCCAAGCCTTAAAAATAGGGCTAATTTTTGTAACTCAAATAATACTAACTATGCATTAGGAATATATGGAAAGACTTGAAAGAATTGTGTCACACACAATCCACAGACGGGTCTTGAACCTGTACTTCAGGTACAGGTAAGGCAGGCGGAGCCTTACACTAGTCAGTCCCCAAATCAGAGGACCCAGGGTTGACTCTAGAGCTTTGACTAAAGGGACATGCCCATGGTTGTGATCTCTGAAAGAGTTCAGCATTCCACGTGCTTGACTGGGTCCCACATCACACTCAGCCTCACAGACCTCTAGTGTGCTCAGCTGTTCTGAAGGAGGAATTCAGGCTGGGGTCTGGAGATCACTTTCCAGTGTCTGCATTTAGCAAATGGGAAATGCCACTATGAGTTAACTTCTGCTGAGGTGAAACCATTGGCCAAACACGGCTATTTTCTAGACCTTCAGAGAGAACACTTGGCTGGTCTGGCTCTCATGCTTTAATACCCAGGAAACTTCGTATGACCAAGTGCATGGCTATGTTGTTCTGATGGCTGTTATTCTCTGGACTGTGAAACTAAAAGGAGATCATGGATTTGACGTAGCTGACTTCACCTTCTACTCTGCCCTGCCACCAACAGCAGTTACCTTTTTAACTCCCTTCATTCATAGCCTCACCCACCATGTCCAGCCCCAAATACAACCAGTAGTGCAATCCAGCATTCAGGAGCAAAGGTAACAGGCTGGGGTGAGTCTACAGAGAAAATAAAGTGTCACAGTTGGCTGGCGGTAGAGCCTACCTGGTCCAACCCCCAAATCTGCAGGTGTGAAAAACAAGATCTTGATCATCCCGGCTCATTGGCAGACCTTTCCCACCCACCCCTTTTGCTGATCTTTTCGTTCATTCAGCACTGCCTGCGAGCCGGCGGTGCAGGTGCCAGGGGGAGACCAGTGAACTAGACACAGCCCCTGACCTCACAGAGCTTGCAGTCCAGGGGGCAAATTGAATGAGAAAGGACCAGTCTGAGGAATGTTACAAAGGGTGACATAGAGGTACTCTAGGAGCTGATGGGGTGTATCTGGAAAACCCTCCCTGAGGTCAGGGGGATCTAAATTTAAGATTAAATGAGGAGTTGGCTGGACAAAAGATGTGGAGAGGAGCTCTCTAGGTGGGAGGAACAGCATATGCAAAGCCCTGAATCAAGGCAGGAAAGTGCTATGCAAGGAACCAAAGGAAGCCCAGGATGGCTGACAGGCAAAGATGAGTCAAAAGGCAGGAACCTCTCTGCTGAAGGCTGTGGGAGCCTTGGCCTGAGGCTCTAAGAAGCTACTGAAGTTTTTCAGCAGGATGATATTTGTATTTGTGTTTTTGGACAGGAAGTGGGATTTATGGGTGGGCATGGAAAGGGATGGGTGGTGCCAAGGTTCTCATGAGTGCAGAGCCCACCATTTGTCCAAGGGGCCATAATTAGGGATGTGTTTGATGATCCCTATCTGGGATGAGCCACTTTTCAGCCACCATTTCTTCAAATTCATCCACATTAAACTTAGTAAAGCCCCACTTCTTGGAAATGTGGATCTTCTGGCAGCCAGGGAACTTGAACCTGGCCTTACATAGGGCCTCAATCATGTGCTTCTTGTTCTGCAACCTGCTATGCATGGACATGATGACTCGGCCAACGATGGCCCTGGCCTTTGTGCCCTGGGCCTTTCCAAAGGTACCCTGCATACCTGTCTGGAGCCTGGATTGGAGATAGCATGAGGTCAGACATCAATGTCCACTGGAAAGGGCTGTCCCCAAGGCCCCTTAGGGCAACCCATACAATCAACAGGCTTCATACACTACCAAGGAGGCTACTGCGTGCGGCCGTTGCATACTGGGCCCCTGTGGGGAAAGAGCACAGTCAGTTTAATTGGCGGCAGTCGGCTTAATTGGCGGCAGATGATGTTTGTATTTCTAAAAGGTAACATTGTTGTAAGGGGCTAGACTGGGAGAGATGCAGTGAGACCAACTTTTTTGGGGGGTGAGGGAAGGGTTAGATTGAACACTAATCCAGGAAAGAGATGGTAGTGACTTGACCTAGGGCGGTGACAGTTGCAAAGTAGAGTCAACATCACCCTGAGAAGAACTTGCTTCGGCTCGGCTGCTCTCCCAAGGAGGTGGGAGACACGTGGAGCAGAGATGCCCGGCTGAGCCTCCCAGCCAGGTCTCGCTTAGATCAGTCAGCTGCAGCCAACCCTCAGGTATGTGATACATAAATTATTGTTTAAGGCACTGCGTCTTGGGTAGTTATGGAGCAATGACAAACTACTACAGAGAGCTAGCTAGTATAATAGTTTATCACTTTAACAGGGCCACATAACAAATCAGAAGGTAGGCAGACAAACTTGGTAAAAACTGTGCACCTCCCATGTAGAGTCATTTCCACAAGTACCTACAGAGTATAGGTGTCATGTCTCCCAACTACTAGACCCCATCAGTGTGTACATTAAAAACAGAACAAGACCAAAAAAAGAAAATAGAGTCAACAGGACTTGGTAATTGAATGTGAAGTGGAGACAGGGTGTCAGGGGAGTCCAGGAGGGCTCCCAGGTTTGGGGCCTGAGTGACTGAACAGATGTTGGACACCTGCTAAGACAAGACAGGAGTGGGCACTATCTAAAGCTTTCTCCTCCTGCCAGGTTCAAACAACTTCAAGTTCAAACAAAAAGCTAGCAACTACAGATGTATCTTTTACTTCCAAAGGTTGAAAATACTATTTCGGGTTTTTTTTTTTTTTCAAACAAAACAAAATCCACTGGAAGAAAACAATTTAAAAGACCCTAATGAAGAGATTTTATCCATAGCTCTCTGTAGAATAAATATACTCCTTCCACAAGGAAAGCCTATAGATAAATATTACCACTGAGACAGGAGGAGTAGGGAGAAATGTTTCTATATTTTGCAAAGGGTGATATAAGATCAAAAGAAAAAAAGGCTAAGGAAGGTTGGTCTACATATTCTAAGAATATGGTACTTAAAAAGGCAACTAGGGGCAACTGGGTGGCTCAGTTGGTTAAGCGTCCGACTTCGGCTCAGGGCATGATCTCACGGTCTGTGAGTTTGAGCCCTGCATCAGGCGCTGTGCTGACAGCTCAGAGCCTGGAGCCTGCTTTGGATTCTATGTCTCCTTCTGTCTCTGCCCCTTCCCCACTTGTGCTCTGTCTCTCTCTATGAAAAATAAATAAATGTAAAAAAAAACTTTTTAAATAAATAAAAAGTATGCAACTAAAGTGCACAGTAAAATATCAGCAAGTATACAGAAAGAACACAAATACGTTTCATAACAGAATGAGCTGCTTTTGTTTGTTAAGTACTTCATACAAACTGTTAGTAGCTTTCTAGATTAAAGGATATCACAGTTACTGAGGCCACGCTATAAATATAGCAGCAGCTGAAGAAATGATAAGCACTCAAAACACAGGAGAAAGCATTTCCTACACCAAGAATGATGTTCTCTGAGT